AAATGCATAGGAGTGCTATTACAGCCCAGTCCTTTTTGGTCACCACACTTTCTGAAACTCTTGACCTATCCTGTTAATAAAGACAAGACAAATGATTGAGAAAGTTTGCCTCTAAATAAATAAAATATAAATACATTTCTTGTTGTCACTCCACCAGAAGAAAAATTCATTATCAATGAGGGAATATCAAGACTAGATACTTTCACTTGTCTTCCTGACCTCGTATGTGTTTGACAATCTCAACTCAAATGTCTACTTCCAGGTTTTTTAGAGCTTTCAGTTGTGTCTGATCTCTTGTGAATCTCAATTTAAATCAAAATTTTGCCAATCTTTACACAATTTTAATTCAGGCCATGCCTTGTGTTTAGACGATTTAACATTTTAGGACTTTGGCTTATGTTAAACGGTTTCTGTCAAAAACTATAGTTAATATTGTACTGTATGAACATTTGTAAGTAATCTTGTATGAAGTCACAAGCATGAATAAAAAAAAAAAAAAATACAATATATAGGCTCTGTACTAACAGCATTAGATAAAAATTTAAATAACATTGCACTAACCAAATAAAACTAATATCAAGGGGTGTGGAAACAAGGGCGGGAATGCAAGCAGTCAGAAAAACACACAGGTTGTAAACAACCTCTCAGTTTAGGTATATTCAAGGCCGTAAACTGCAAGTGATGAATAAAATAGGCCAAAAAACATTTCTGTTTTCTTTACTGCAGAATCAGACTAGAATAATCTGTCAAGCAGCCAAGAATGATCAGTGTCACAGGATGCAATTATGAGGAACTCACAAGAGACAGTCTGAAAAATGTTAACTGCAGAGAGAGAGAAACTATGTGACCGAAACAACAAAGAATTTGTTGCACTTGAAAACATACCTGGACCCGCTACCTCAAAACCACTTACATGTAATTTAGAAATATACTAAATATAATATTCCTTGCTTGTGTTACAATTTGTCTGATGACAACATTCATGTTATTCACTATCAAACAAAATGGAAATGATGATCAAACAGATCTATATTTATTAATATTAAAGCGAATTTAGACATACCTGGAGCCGGCAATTAAAACACTAAAACATATTAAGTGAAAATGTAGCACGTATATTAAAAATAAAACTGTAAAAGTAACGCACAATTTACGCAGGTTGTGCAGAATACACAGCAGTAAAGTAAAGTTCTCATAAATATACTTGGATGAAACCTAGTTACTATCTTTTATTTTCTTCCAGCTCTCTGTCTCTCTCTGCTGTCCTTTTTCTCTGAAATTACCATGCATCACATTTCCACACTGACCTCTGGATAAGCTGACCGCAGAGAAAAAATCTCCTTTGCTCTGTTTCTCACCCACCATTCTTTTATGTTTGCATAAATTTAGCCGGCTGGAAAAAAAGATAGAAGAGAGAAGGGGTGGGGTGGGGGGGGGGGTGGGGGGGGGGGGGGTGAAAGAGAAATGAGTAAACAGGGTAGGGTGTCGTAGAAACAAAGAAGAACATGATCGAGTGGAGAGTGAAACACTCCAACCGTGTTCGGTCAGGTTTTAATGTGTCAAATGCAGTTACAGAAGAGAGTTTTTTATAAAGCGTCAGTTGTGAGTTACTGTGGGTGAATAAGTGCAAATAAATAGAGGAGAAGAGATCTGGTGGAAGAATGGGAAGTAAACAACCAAAATTTCCCAACTAATATTGCAATACTGGTCATTACTAACATCTTCAATTAACTGTAATCTACTGCGCTACTCTCTATTATACTATATAACAGTGATAATCAAAATGGCTGCCAAGGCTGGGGTTGACAGACGTACTGATGTAGCTTCTAAAGCTGCGGGCCTCTCAGTCTTGCAGAGAGCGCTGGTATTTGGCTCGGCTCTGAGCCCTTGACGGGTCACAGACCGACCAATGGCCAAACTTGTCTCTTA